GAAGCCATGTGTGGGTGTTTACTGTGGGACCCATTCTTATTACATCAGGCATAAAAATTACGTTTGTTCTGTATGTGGGATTGGGGTCAAAGGAAGTTCCTGTTTATGTAAGAGTCGCGGTGCTGATAGGGTCAGGAAGCAGATTATTTACGCTAGGAAGAGAGATTACATCAACGAGAGAAATAGGTTGGGGAGAATACGTATTTATATATGAAAAACAACCATTTAGACATTTGAATCATTTTGTATATACCATAAAATCACAATGGTTTTTGTCAGAGAGTTGAAGGCTTTGGCAACGTGGTCTACATGGATATTCTCGATTGAGAAAAGCTGAATTGAGCGCTTTACTAGATAATAATAAATCAGTTGGCGATGTTGATAAACCCACTGTTGTTGATAATAATGAGTTAAAATTTGTACCCACAGCCGGCGTTGGTAAATATCTAAGAGGTTGGAAGATGGATATTCATTCCAACATGGATGTTAATAATGTTAAGCCCATCGTATCGAGCAAAATTAACAAGGAGTTAGATGATTTAAATAGTATAAAATACCGCCTGACGGTTAAAATGTCATTGAGTAAAAGTAACGCAGACGATAGCACTGAATATACCGAACCTTATTTCCGAAGCAATCAAGAGGTTATAACCGAATCTGATACTATAAACGCATCATTAGATACATCAATTCAGAGGATACAAGAAACTTTAGAACGTTGGACTAATAGAGGCTCGGGTTGGGGTGTGGATAAAATCGATAGTTTATATTTAGATATAGCAAATGATATGCCTTTCAAAGGTGGATCTTATATAGATTTACCCCCGTATTATTAAAAAGAAAAAAGCCATAATTAATGTAAAAAATATAGGCGATGACTGTTTCAGAATGATAAGATCTGCATTGTTCCCCGTAGATACTAAAATTGCAAATAGACCTTCTAGCTATCCCCAAAACGTTTGACTAAACCTTGATGGTATAGACAAATCTACACCAATCTCACAAACTGATAAGGCGGAAAAGCAAAATAATTTAGCTATAAATGTTTTTGGACACTCTTCTAAAGGAATTGTTGTACACAGGATAAGCTCAACTCCAGAACATATTTCCAGAATCAATTCATTTCTGATAAAAAAAGATGGTAAATATCATTATACGTGGATAAAGAGTTTATGCAGGCTATTATACGATCAAACAAAACATGATGGAAAGAAATATTTCTGCGAAAGATGCCTGCATGGGTACAGCAGACAAGATCTATTAGAAGCACATAAAGAAGACTGCAGAGGTGTTGGACAGACTGCTGTCAGGATCAATATGCCTAAAGAGGGAAAATATATATTAAAATTTGAACTTCATTCGTTGTAAAAATATCATACTTCTTCCTTGGTATATAACGTGGTGCCGTAAGTATATTTGCCACATGGCTTGTTTCTCTAACCAATCCTTGGCCACATCTTTATATATACTTTAGCCGCAGTGGCTAATTTTTGTATTGCTCCTATACCTTTCCAATATCCTCGTGGACTATAGTAAATTTTATTCATTATTAATTAATATTGACGTTTCTTTTAATACGACTCATGACGATCGTTGAATCGCATCATCATTTTGACATAAAATATTCCATTTGTAGTGGTGGTATAGGTATATAAATCTGGCTCCAGTGGGGTTGCAGCAGAACCATCATTACCTATACTACTTGTAATGTGATTCTACTCATTTACCAATGATCTACCCACAGTGGAGAAAAATGATGAAATGGCTAACCAACCTTCCAAGCTGATACTGTGTGAAAATCCTCATCCACCCCCACCCAACACTTTTCTTGAGACCACAGGGAGCTTCCGACTGGTTTGGCACTATAGGCCTAAGGGTGTATAGTCTATTTCAATTAGGTTGGCTGTCAGGCAAATGGAAACCAGTGAATGTGTTGTGAGACCACTTGTTCTATTGAAACCAAGTTCATCACACTAAGCTGGTTGATAATGCTTTGATCTCATGAGCTGTAAAGGCAGCAAATGTTGGAGAAGCAACGTCTGCATGGCAATCATACAAGAACCCTTGAAATTAGTAATTGGGGGTACGCTGGTCCCCTAGCTTTGTAGGTCAAGGTAAAACCCAGTGACAGAACACGGCTGGAATTGCCGTTGAAGTCTGGTAGTCGAGAATCTCAGTACACAAACAAAGCCAGGTAGATGGGGTTTGAGTTGAGATGCATGGTTTCTGTACAGTCCGAGATGGCATTCACCTCTTCCCTGTAGTGCCGGTCCTGCCTCTTGCTCTATGTTTCTGCTCAAAATGTCTACAGTTATCCCTTGTTTCTGCGTGTTGATCTAGCCTTCAATCTGATTCTTCTGGTGTATCTCCTGGGAAGCCCTAATGTGATTCATGAAGAGGGGGTAAGACATGGTGTACTCCTGCCATGAACCAATCTCCATATCATGTCTATTGAGGGTATCAAGCTCTTTGATCCTGACCACAGGCAAAGACATCTTGGTGCTGGGTGATGTAACCAACTTATAGTAATGTTGCTCAATAGATGGAGGGGAGGGTCAATCGCATCTAGTAGGTGTGCCTTTTCATCTGAGGTAGAGGCAATTTACTGTCGCTCATCAACTATGCAAGTTTTCATTGGCTTGAATTATCACTTGATTCGCATATCTTTGCCATGGGAGAGTAAGCAGAAGATGATGGACAATGACAACGAGCATACTTACACATCAGAGGAGCAGTCTGTTCCTCTACTTTAGGTTGCAGGTCCAGCAAAGGAAAAACAAAGCTCATGCATATGATGCATGGTCCATTGGAGTCTAGTGGCGACCTACCTCGCATGAGCAATCCACTGGATTATGGTATACGGTGGCCTCTACTGACACTGTTCGTAGGTTCTCTTCATTGACTTGTAATAAGCGCTCTGCAGAGTGGCTAGATCGAATCCCACTGCTGACTCATGCATGGCCTTTGCGTTGTGTTTTATTTGATGATAAATGTGTGGTTTAACTGTGAGTCAGCTAGCTGGGGACACTCCTGTGAGACTCTGTAGTAGGGTTCATGCATCCGGCGGGTGAAAAAGGACAAAAAGGCTTGTTGAAAATATAATGAATTTTTAATATAACAAAAGTAAACTGATTAACAGAACATAAAATTAAGACAACAATCACACGGAAGAAAGCTGTCTATTATTTGCTCTTTATTTATGTCTACCTACCCTAAGCCTACTTATTCCTAACTCTACTCCCCAAATACACTGAGAAAGGCTGTCAGGATGGATTCAGACTGTCTACTTTCTCAGTGTCATTTCACCTAAGGGTGCGTCTGTTTCTCTGCAGCTACTGTAGATACAGATGAAACAACAACTTTTATTTGCTGCCTACTTATTTATAGCCTTCTTCCAGGCATCAGCCAGCTTAGCAAACAAAGCCCTGGACAAGAGTTGAACACTTTTCAATATTAACACCTTGAGCAAATTGCACCCCCTTATATTAGTTGAAGTGAATAAAGTAAAAAGACAGACGACTTCAGCTCAAAAAGCCCATTATATTCACAATCAGAAAACTTCCCTGATTGTAGACTGCTTCTTTTGAGCACCTGAAAGTTCACATGCAAAATCTGCAAATCCAGTGACAAGTTTGAAATGCTTGCTTCTGGACTGTCTGGAAGTTTTATTTACCAAAGCAAATTATACCATAGTTAAAATACTCTTCCTCAGTTTTAGTTGAAAAGGTAAAAACTTGAGCTTGGGGTTTTACTTTTTCAACTTAAACCGAGGAGGAGTGTTTATGAACTTTCTACATGCAAAAATACACACAAAAAATGCCAAAAAAAATAAGGATACCTTATAGTGAAACAATATAGTAGTCAGGGTACAAAACAAATTTGATGGCAGTGGTTCAGAAAAAGTGAAGCATGTTGATGTCAGTAATGTAAGATTGAACACCCTTTCATCACCTGCCCCCATGGGTTCAGTGGGAAAATTGTGGGTTACAATACTAAACGTGATATGTGAGGTTGCATCATGAAATTTTCAAGTAAAAAACATTGTGATATTTAACTAGTCAAAAATCAACATTAGATCCATATTAAGAAAGCTGATTATTTCATTCAAAATCTCACTTGAAAGTAGTTTTGTTTGCATGTTTGTTGTTTAATGCCTCACTCAGCAATATTCCATCTATATGACAGTGATCTGTAAATAATCGAGTCTGGGCCAAACAACCCGGTGAACCATATCAAGAGCATCAATCCACACAATTGGGATGTATCAACCAAGTCAGCAAGCCAGACCACCCGATCCTGTTAGTTGCCTCTTACGACAAGCATGGGTTCTTCAAGGGCCACTTGAATGTAGTACCTCTCACAAGGTTATCTAAGATAGCAAAACATCTACATAACAATAGGCAAAAGTGACAGTAAGCTAGAAAAACAACTGTTCGTGACAGCTTGATCACATGTCTTTTCCATGTCTATTCTTTGAATGTGATTTTTTGTTAAACCCATGCCCGGCAATAAGTGATTGTGAAAACTTCATGGTTATATCGAAATGAAGGATTATGTTATGCAGCTAAAACTGGTCATTACTGCGCATGCTTGATCACAGTTTACAGAACAATTAAAGACATATAAAATGTGTAAGCTTATCAATGACTGAGAAAGAATTAAATATTGATGTGCTTTCAGTAATCATTGTTAGTCGGTGACCTGAAAAATATGTGTGCATAAGAATCATTTGCAATATTTCAAATGAGGTTCGAGATAAAATATTCAACAGGGGTAGACATGTTAAAACATGGTAAGACATGGGTAGACCATTGGTCTGTAAAAATATGTTTGAGTCACGAAATATAGCATAAAAACAGGGGACTGCTTAACTTCTCCAGTTCTGGAAATTGCAACCTATTTAGTTAGGCCCTACATACTATTTCAAATATAGGTTCAAGTAATAGGAGACTACTTCTTCATCATCTGGAGGAGAATAGGACATCAATGCATATACTCACATCTTCTGGTACAGTGTCCAGCTGTGCTTGTGTTGGTCCTACCTCCTTGAGGCTGGGGATGTTACCTTCGTAGTACTGTTGAAGGAGAGACACAGCTCGACTCCCATATCCCATCTGGCACAAAACACAAGTATATAGTTGTCAAAGACCTTCAAAGTTAAAGGTCAAAGGGACAATAGAGAAAGTGTGCTTTAGCAGAAAATGACATTATCAGTGTATTATGTCAATTTATATACTTTTCTTGCATTACATATGGCACATTGCTCATACCTGGAAACAAGAGATGATCTTACAGTGTCTTCAGTAACTCTTTTGCCCAACATGACCTCTGGTGTCAATAGAGAAGACCCCTTTATGTCATTATTGTTTTCTACAGCTTATCTCAGTGCTGCTGGTGCTGCAGGGAGGGCCCTTGGGTAATGCAGGACAAAAATATAAATAGACATAATACTCTGAATATGTAATATCTTTTACCTATCCTGCATTACATATTGAACTTTATCTAACGGTAGGTAGTGGTGCGTAACTTCAGTCCAGTGCTAGGACAGCTGTCTTGGTCATTGCATCTCAAAGGTCTCGTAGGTCCTGTCTAAGCACATGAGTTGGTTAGACTCTGCTACTACCTCTGCAGTGGATACTTGCAAACAGTAGCACATGATTACAACTGAACATAATTTTTGGTTCTCTAAAGATGCTAATAGTTGGGTAACCAAGTCCCGAATTCAGCGAAAGAGACAACACAGTTTAACTAGAACCAAAACCAAGAGTTCAGACAAACTGGTAATATTTACTATAACTCCTCCCCTCGTCAAACTGTGGAACGGTCTTACAGATGGGGCATGGGGGGAGGTTCCATAGAATGATTCTTCTTGTATTCTTGAACTACCATCAACGGTCCAAAACTATGCATGCCATCCTGGAGGTAATGGCTTGAGAAGACAGTGGTAGAGCTCCAAAAGCACCCCTGCATAAAGGACTGGATGGAACAGTTTCCCTTAATTTCCATGGATCAGTCTGGATCTCATAAGAGTTGTTGTGGTGTTCTGATCCTGCAGCATTATAGGCCTGCAGGATTGTAGACCTCAGCCAAAAATTCATGGATGCCTCTCCTTTGAAACTCAACAAGGTGGGAATAAACAGGAGGTACCAGTTTGTCCTCCTAGGCATTGCTGCTACTATGCAGGATCCAAGGATATACAGATGGGACATAGCAGAAGCTCATTCTTGTCCTCCATCCCTATGATGGAATGGAAGGGTGGTATGGTAAAGTGTCTATCCGGCTGGCCAGGCTGTTGATTTTTGGTGATAAAGTCCCAGCATAGGCTTAGATGGACAAAACCTCTGGCGTGAACCCGGATATTAAAGCGTGACGAGCAAACACTTTAACCACTAGGCTACCCACCCGCCCGCCAAAGCTAGAGCTAGTAGGAAGCTATTTTTTGAGTCAGGTGCACACTACGGCAACAGAAGGTTCTTTCAACCAAAACGCAGGAGGCATGATTATCATTTACTGGAACTGCATAGGTGCTGTAACCCTCCAAGTGTATGGCTAGGGCATCGATGGTCCGGCATTGGTTGTACAAACGTCGAAAGCTGCTTCTTGTGTCTTGTGGCAAACAGATTGACGCTCGGCTGCTCCAACTTTTAATCACATTAAATACACTCCAGGTACAGCTTTCACTGTGGGTAATGGGCATTCCGGTCTCTAGGACATTTCGCTTTGGCCTCCAATGGAATTTCATCTATCAACTGGTAAAAAAACCAATGTATGGTTCAAAAGGGATCTCAGGTGGGTTGACCTCTGTTTGTTGATGAACCAGCGACTATTGAGTTGTCCACCCTTGGAGTGGTATCTGTGAACAGATGATGGGACTCCTTGAACTTTCTAAGGCATTTGACGGATACTGTTGTAGCTGGTCTGGCAATACGATTATGCATTGCCCAGTTTGGCTCTTGTGCCACTGTGAGCAGACCGAGCAGCACTTGCCAATAACTGACGGATAATTGGGGCCTGCTAGTGCCAGCTGGACATTTGAGACAATCTTTTCCCACAAGCTTGGTATGATTTTGACTGACTTCTTGGGAGTTTTGTTTGTTTGTTTGTTTGTTTGTTTGTTTGTTGTTGTTGTGGAGGTGGTTAGTCACTTCTTACAACTTCTCTTCCTGGAGTATCCAGATCAACCTCCTCAGTTGGATTCGGTTTAGGGATAGGAGCCTTGTCCCTTTCTACGAATCCAAGGAATCCTTGTCACATGTTGGAGTAATCAACTGAAGCTGACCTCCCTCTGCCTTCTGCAGGTCTACACCCTGCTTAGGGGAGGCTGCTGCTGGTAAAAAGTTGGCAAGCTCAGGAACGACATCAGAGTAACAGAGTCTTTCATCAGGCTCATTGTAATCTAGCTCCGATGAAGGCACACACTCTAGGAGGGATGACCCTGAAGACCTCCTGATGCTCGAAAAAACACTGAATACCCAAATCTGATGAGACAAAAATGATGAATAACATGCCAAATGAACTCAGTCAGAAATTTATGAAAATTGATCACGACAAGGATAGATCTATCAGAAGACTGAGGTAAGATTCATATCCACAACCTGCTTTTGCAGAGAAGAGAATAATGACATATAGGTCATTTCGGCCATTCATTTCCAGTGAGGAGCAAGTGCAACATGTAATGCATGATAAGTAAAAAATTACATGATTTGAAGACCTTGATGAGGTTTATCGAAAGAAAGCTCATTGAACTAACTATAATATGACATAATAATAACAATAACAAAAATAATAATAATAATAATTTTATTGTGTGATGACAGCCAAAATACAGGATTTATGGCAATGACGTAATAGAGGTTTTGTATTCATATGAATGATGTTGATATGTTCCATTAACTAAAATACATATAGTTAGTGAATCAGTTGCAATTGAACATTTGTATTCCCGTCATGTGTATGTGTGGTTTCTACCACTGTATGTATTATATTACACAACTCTATTTTCAGCAATAATGTTTCTCCTTGGTGCAACTGGAAGAGCAAATAATAGTCACACTGTGCAATGATTGCTGTTATTGGTGTGTGGCATGAACTACATACATTTTGTTATTGAATCAATTGAACATTTTTATTCTACAGGTATGTGTGTATACAATATTTTTCTGCAATAATGTTTTTTAAGATAGAATATCATTTATATTTATTCTGACTCGTACTAATTGGTTATCTCTCTCTCTTCGAAAAGGTAGTGGAAACTTTCTGAACTGTGTTCCCCAAGAACAGACTAAACAGCTTACCAGAACGCACACCTTGAGCGGCACATGCGCACTGTAACCTAGGACATCACTCTCTCATTCTCTTACCTTATGTCCAAACACTGGGAAAGAGGGGATGGCATGGCAGGTGCTGCGTTCCACCCAGTGTTTGAAACAAGCGCCTGCCCGCAGACCCATGATCAGGTATGGCTCTTTATGGCCTGCAGTAAATTGATGGGGTGATTTATGTATCACAATTAGCTGCAGTTTTTTAAATGAGGGCCTGCAGTGTTGACTCAGGGCCTGCAGGTTCTAAAGCCAGAGGGTCCTGATGGCAGCCTGGCAATTTTTTTATTTCAAACACTGGATCTACGTGATTCAGAACAAGATCTGTTCAATTAACCCCCTGGGAACATAATATCTTCATTATATCCATACGGGGTACCACCTCCTTCTTGTCTAAGAGAGGAGTAAATAGATTTCTTGGATTTAGTAAAGTTCGCTAAAGAAAATAATTTCCCCCCGTTATTTCTTATGGTCCAATTTGTTGAATTCCAGCAACATCTAGTGTGGAGAAATGTCTCAGATAATGATTAGCGAAGAAAGTGTCTGATCTCCAAAAACAACCTTTCATAACAGTTGCCTTGAAGCTCAGGAGTAGACGTGATGGTTCTCACTTCGTGTCAGGCCATCTTGTAGGCTCTGAGGATGACTACTCTCATCCAAAAGGAAACTTTTTGTTCTGAGGACTTCTGCTGAACTATTCCTGGATAATGAAATGAACAGTCTTCTCAGCCTTTGTCTTCAGGAACTTGTCATCTGCAGGTAGTAATGTAATGCAGGAATTGGGCATAACGACAAATCTTCAGCAACCTCTGATTCCAAATATGGGATAATAGTCTTGATCCAAATGTTACAACGCGTACACTTGAGCAGACTCATGAATATAACTCATGAATATTAATTAGACCGTTCACTATGTTAACAGATCGTTATTATAACAGAAACAAAAGTATGTTTTCCATGTACATCTAAAATGATATTATTTGTTATTAATTGTCCGGTGAATTAAACAATTTAAATTGAAACAATTCATAATTCATCATAATATGAATACGTAACAACTTGTAATGTGTGTTAAAAGTCGTACTAAAATACGCTATTTGAAGGGGGCGTGGCCTAAATGCAAATGTCCAATTGGGATTTTAAATTTTCCAGACCCCTGGATTGGAGGGATGTGAAATTGTCTGCCTGGTTGTCCTGGTAGCTGATTCTTAGCAATGAAATCCCATCTGGCATGGGTCAGATGTTCAAAATCAGCTTTTTGTAGAGGTTCATAAGCATCACTGCTGAGATGGTTAAGCACCATATTCAAATCCCAGGTTGGGGCTTTGAATTTTTTGTTGATTTTCAAAGCCTATACAATTCTAAGGCTGAAAAGAAAAGAACTGGTTCTCAGGCAATAGCTTTTGAAATTATGGTGCGGGTGGGTGTTTTTGTTTTTTTCGGTTGTGTATAATAAACTAGTAAGAATCCAAATCCGTATATTGCTGCGTAAAAAACAAGAATTAGGCTTTCAAGAGGGGAGGGTCGTCTTATACACAGGGTTGAAGAGGGTTTTTTCATGGTTTTTTTCCCGAACACAAACACATTACTGTGAGCATGTAACACCGTAAATACCATGTCAGCAAGTTTGTGCTGAAGTACGCAAATTAATCATGTAATTACACTGTCTGGTTGTAAAAAAGAGTTCATAATATTTCTGGATTTTTATTTGTAATCTATCTTATTAATTTTAATCAACATTTCATTCAATATTGTTTCAATTCATTCTTGTAAAATCGTATGTGAAATGATTGGAA